GGTCAGTCCATACGACTTGACCTTTGGCTGGGCCGAGCCATGTGTGGCCGTGACACCCTGGGTCAGTCCATACGACTTGACCTTTGGCTGGCACCTTCTCCAGGACAGCTGCTTGCAGCAGGTCTCCTCACACACTCCCAGCCCTATTCTATGCCTGTCCCTGCAGCACCTGTGCCCTGCCCTCTCTGCCTTCCCAAGGGCCCCACGGAGACACTGGTTGCTCTGTGAGGGCCCCCAGGGCTCTGGCTATGCCCCTTTCAAAGCTCCTGCTGCCTATGCAGGCAGAGAAGGTCCTCAGAGGGGGCAGAGACCTGCCCTGGTTGGCCCAAATGACACAAAGCCCCCAAACCAACAGAGCTGTCTAATGTCCTTTGGGAGGCTGCCCCAGGGAATTTCTCCCTGAGCCCAGACCCGCTGCCAGGCCCTGCTGCTACCCCTACCTCCATCCTGGCACCACCACTAGGCTGTCTACTTTCAGCCAGCCTCCCGATGATGGCACCAAGGGAGCCCCTGCCCCTCCTGAACCCCTCTCCCCTTCCAGCAGCTGCCCCTTCACAGCCCAGGGCCCCAGCGGACAACGCATGCCCCACCTCCTCCTCTCCATCCCAGCACATGCTGCTCTGCAGCCTCTTACGCTATCAGCGCCCAACAAACCCAGCACAAGCCACGGAACCGCCTCGACCCTCGGCAGCTCCTGTCACTGCTCCTCCACCCCGGCGAAAACCACCATGCCCCTGCCAGATGGCTCCCCACCCACCTTCAGGCCCTCTGATCCAAGGGCTGCCTGCGGTCCCGTGAGCACCCCCAAGGCAGGCAGGGACACCGAGGCAGCCGGACAGGGCAGCGGGGAGGGCGAGGCCCGCTCACCTTGATGTGCACCTTGGCCCGCTTCAGAAGGCTCAGTGTGGTGTGGCGGGTGCTGTCAGGGCCCAGGGGCACCAGCTGCTTAAGCTGCTCCAGGTACAGCCTGAGTTTGGCTCGTCTGAAAGAGCCAGAGACAGAACCATCAGGCTGGGGTGGCAAAGCCCATGGGGCGAGAGGTCTGGGGCAGCCCCTGCACAGACCCAGCCCCCACCATCCACTGCTGCAGATGTGCTGAGGGTCCCTCTCGAGGACCCCTGCTAGCCTGGCTGCCAACTGCCCTGGCCCCCGGGAGCAGCCCAACTCCCACAGTCCCCTAGATGCCCGGCAGAAGTGCTCAGCTCACCATGGCCTGCAGAGCCTCAGCACGTCACCCAGGCACTGCCTAGGAGCCCCAGCTCACCCCCGGCCATCCCCATGCCTGCCTTGGAGTCCACGTGCAGGGCGGGGTGGAGTGAGGTGAGGGGTCCTATTCAGGCTGCACCAGAGGTCTGAGGGACTCAGACAAGGTTTACATTTTTCCATCTCTTCACGTACAAAGTGCTGTCACTTCTGTGACCATGGAAACACGATCAGCCTAGGTCAAAGGAGGGCCAGGGGCCAGACCCTTCCAGCCCAAGTTTCGTATCCCCTTGGAAACGGCTTCATTCCAAATTCTGTCCCTGTACCCACAGATGAATCCACTTTTCACAAAACTGGAGCCATGGCACTCGTGGTGCTTGCTTGTTCACACTCAAGGGTACTTGCTCACATGCCACAATCCTCCAGGATGCATTCATCGGGTGCCTCGGGAGAGACCCCCGGCTTCATCCTAGGCCTGCCCCTGCGGAAACACCGCCTTCTTGCTGGCCTGCTTGTCTACTGGGGAGGCTGGTGGAGCTCACGGGGAGCTCCAGCTCACCCGGAGGCACAGACTCAGCCTGGGACCCCGGCCACGCCTGTGTGCACCTGCCTGGCAGTGCAGGGCAGCAGGAGGTTTGGCACTGCCATGCTCATCCACAGACTCATCCATCTCGTGCAGGCTGCACAGGCTGCTTCCAAATACAGGACAGTCTGCTTTGGGTAAACCCTTGAGTGGAATTGCCAGGTCAAGGGGTAGGAACAATTTTTGTCTTTTGAAAACCTGCCACCCACTGGATGCCTGCACGTGTGCCTTTCCCCACACGGCACCAATGCTGAGCGCCCAGCCCTGGCGTGTCTGCTCCTGCCACTTCCAACCCCAGCAAATCTTGTCCGCCTGGGAGGAACGTAGGCAGGAACAGCCATTTTCTCTGGACAAGGAGGAACCTGAAGAAGGAGGGGGCTGTGGGGTGCAGTGGTAACAGCCTTCCTGGTCTGGAGGTCTGCCTGGAAGTGGCCTGAACGGGGCTGAGATCCTCAGCATCTCCTACTCTGCCTCCCGTGCGCAGGCACAGGGGAAGGGGTCCCAGGCGGCGGCTCCATGACCACCCCAGTGCCTGGATCCTCAGCCTCCCACCTCCAACAGCAGAGAGCACCCTGTCTCCCCGCTCCCCAGGAACTGTGCAGCCAAGAGGCCGAAGTGTGCTCCCTGCTCAGGGAGGGGTCCTTTCCTGGGGCGCACCGTCACTCTACTGCAGCCACCATCGGGACCAGGTTTGCAAGGGGGATGCTGCCAGAGGGATCCTCCCTGGTCCACTATAACAAGTGGCTTTCCAAGCCCCCAGGTAATGACATCAACACTACATGACCTCTGCAGAACAATTTAAAAATGCAAATCAACAAAAAGGAAAAAAACTACAAGTCCCCCAAATTCCACCACCCCAAAACAACTTCATTATCATTTTAGTGTGTGACAGGTGCACATCATGAATGTCAAGTGAAAAAATCAGGATACGGACCCACACGGGTGACAAGTGACCCAATTTTGTTTAAAAAACAAAAGAGCAGACGCACACAAGAGACGGACAGAACACAAGGAGGCACAGGGAGCGCGCGTCTCCAGGCGACGCGCCTGGCAATTTTATTTCTTTAGCTTTGTGCTTTTCTGTATTTTCCAGGTTTTCTAGGCTAAAAAAAACACACATTGCTGTGACAATCAGAAAAAGACACGTTTGCACAAGAAAGAAAAACACAGCTGAAAGACAAATAACAAGTAGAACAATCTTTGCAATACATGTAAAAGACAAACGGTTAGTATTTGTGATATGTTGAGCTCGTACACATCAAAAATCAAAAGCAGAATGCCTCAACGTCACAGCGGGCGAAGGACACACACAGGAAAGCTGCAGAACACGAGGGCCAACCTAACCTAACGCCCGACTCCACCTCACCAGAGCCCGGAATGAGAGCTCAGACAAGGAGACACAGCTTTCACCCTCCTACAGGTTGAAGCGGGAAGGGGTGGCTCCCGCGCCAGCCAGCTCGAGGGGTCGCTGATGGTTTGCTGGTGGGAGAGCAGAAGGGGACACAGGTCTGGAGGGCCATCGCACAGTCAGCACTGACCACCAACAGCATCTCTACTTCTAGGGCCTTGGTCCTGCAAAACTATCCCCCCAGATACGCAAAGGCCCATGCTCACCATGGCTCACCGCAGCACCATCTGGAAATACCTGTGTTAACCAGAGGGTCATCGCTACGAACACAGGCGGCACAGCCAGGTGTCCTGTGCGGTCATCAGGGATGAGGAGGTGGAGAAGCGTGCCCTGACACAGGTGGACAGGACTTACGTACGTGGTGTCGGGTGAAAGATCAAGTGAGGAAATGGAGAACAAGGTCCCCTTCTTATCCGAGTCTCATCAGCATGTTAGTGCCCGCGGGGAGCGCGGAGGATGTGGCTCAGCCTCCGAGGGCCCGGGATGCGGTCTCTGGGGTGGGGCGCAGGGGAGGTCCATGAACAGACCGCTTTAGAAATCACGGCACACCTTTCTCAAGAGACAAACAGAAGCCATCTGACCACACGCAGGCACCGTCCAAAACCCGCCTACAGGTCTGCCTGGCCCAGGAGGGCGGGTGCCAGGGCTGCAGGCCACAGAAGTTCCTGCCCTGGGCAGCAGGTGGCTGTGACAGGGCAGGCTGCGGCCAGGCCTGGAGCCAGCTCTGCCACTGGCTGGAGGTGGGACCCCAGGAAGATCCCCACAGCCCGTGGCTGCACCGCCGTCCGCCGCTGCAGCGCCCTGGCCTCGCCAGCACCCACAGCTGTCTCTGGCCGTTCCAAGAGGCTTGTTAAAACCCTACTTCCTGAAGGAATCTGTGTGGGCAAGAGGCAGAACCTGCTTGCAGGACCAGGTCGCGATGGGCTGATACTGACAGCAGCCCCACCTCTGATGCAGCACCTCCCAGCCTCCCCAGAACCCCCACGCCTGGAGGAGGACCCAGGGCACTGAGAGGGCATGGCTCCACGCCAGCATCCCAGCCAACCAGAAAGCCTGGCTGTCGCTGACGGGGAGCCGGGGGTGGCCCAGCGTGCCTCCCACTCCCTCTGTCTGCCTGCGCTTTCCACGTCGCCAACAGAACTTCCCAAGCTCTGGGAAGGCCGCGTGAGGCTGGGCTGCGGGGGGCTCCTCGGCCTCCCAGGACCTGGACATGCTAGGGAATGTGGGGCAGGGGCTCAGCTGAGGACTCTGGACTGGCTTTTGGGATGAGCCCTGCCATCCAGGGGCTGCTGATAGCCAGTAAAGAAGGCTGGGACCTTCCCCCCAAACACACCAAGACCAGAGCCCGGAGCGGGTCCCGTGAGGTCAGCAGCCAAGAAGGTGAGGCCTCCACTGTCCCCTGGCCCCTGGGTCGGCAGCGGTGCACTGGCCTCAGACCTGCTGGAGCTGCCTCTCTACAAAGGAGGGAGGAAGAGGAGCCAGGCTGGGCAGGCTTGGCTCAGAGCACCCACAAGGGGAAGTCCCACAGGCCCAGCCCAGTCCCCAGTAAGGAGACACCTCTGGGCAAAGTGCTGTCCAGGGCCTGCCTCCCGGGATGGCTGGGTGGCCAGCCAGGGGCTTCCTTCCTTCCTCAAGACAGCATGCAGCCCTTCCTGCAGCCAGGAGCAGCCGGGATCAGGGAGGCTGCGATCCGGCCCTAGCTCCAGGCCTGTGGGTTTGTGGGCTGTCCACACCTGCCTCTTGGCCAGCCAGAGACAGAGACCCCCTGCACGGGGTGAGAAAGCCCACAGAGACACCCCGGCTGTCCACCCATCCCTCTGTGCCTCAAACAGGCCCCATGAGGCCCAGGCTAAATGCAGCCTCTGGCAGGAAAGGGCAGAGGGCAAGGTCAGGTCAAGGGGCATCTGCAGGGGTCCAGGGCAGGTCCCTGTCCTCCCCCAAGGGCTGCCACACCCTTGCCACTCACCCACCCCAATGTCATTGCTCCTCAGCCTGTCCCCATTGGGGTACTGTCCTCCCAGGGACTGCCTCCAGGAAGCCTTCCCTGAATACCCCCATGTGCCTGCCCTGGCTCCTGGGTCCTGGGTCAAGGCTAGATTAGTCTTCCTAGGACTGGGAACAACTCCGGGCCTGTCAGGTTCTCGTGGGCCCTGTACCTGCCCCCACCTCTGTGGCCTCTAGGGAACCCCCAAACACACATGACCTGTCCAGGAAGTGAAGTTCCTCAGAGAACACAGCGTTCTGTCCCTGCCCAGCCGCCCACCCCAGCCAGTGGCCCGAATCCCAGGGGAGCGGAAGTTGGCGCTGCTGTAGGGTTGGACATGGGGGGAGGCAGAGACCTGGCTGAGCACCAAACCTTTCCAAAGCAGGCTGTCGGGGGGCGGGGGGCTGAACCAGCACACAGAGCCGCCCCACCAGGAAGGCAGGAAAAAGCTGACCCATCTCACAGACGGGATCACGCGTCAGGAGGGCGATGGCCCAGCATCCCCCGGGGGCTCTGTCTGCCCCTGGTATGGGGCTCCTGTCTCTAGGGCCGCCTCTGCGCTCACCCAGGGCTCCCGCTGGCAGCCCGAGGCCCCTGAGCTCACCTGCACCTCATCCCCACTGGCAGAGCTGGGCCCGCAGCCTGCGGGGATGAACACCCCGCAGCTTCACTCGTGGGCTCCCCTGAACCCTGCTCTGGGCCGGAGCTTCCCAGGAGGCCCGGGACTGGCAGCCCTCCAATCCCGGACAAGACTCTAGTGCAGCTCCCCGGAAGGCAGACCCCAGAATGCACAGGAGAGAGCACCAAACCCTCCGGCCCTGACGGTTACACACCACAGGGCCCCTGTCCATGTCTCTGACCCCCACCTGGATGAGCTCCGGAGAGCAGGACCGGTCCCCCACCATCTCCTGCCTCTAGCACAGAGTGCCTGAAGCAGACCTCAGCCTCCTCCTCCAAGCCTGATCCTTCCCAAGACTAGGGCACAGCCTGCCGCACAGCCAGCCATGCCAGGGACACGGGCAGGCTCAGCGCACCACGTACCCTCAGCACGGGACGGGCCAGGCGCTGGGCTCATGTAGGGGTTGGGGGGTCACTTACCTGTGCTTTTCTAGCTCGTTGTGTGAAGACCTGTTTGGGGAGACAGAGAGACAGAGCTCACTCTGCTGCCTGACCACCAGGGCACAGAGAGCAGCCCCCTCCACACAGCAGCAGCTGGCTGTGTCTGGTCCTGGAATGGCCCAGAACAGTGAGGGCTTGGGGAGGTGGGCAGCTGCCCACCCAGGGCAGGGGGAACCATGCACTGAGCCACGAGGACAGGGAGGCCCTGAGCTGCAGGAAGGTCCAGAGCACCCAGGGCCACCAGCCCACCTAGCAAGGCCCATGGGGACTCTGGCTGACGGAGGACCCAGGCCCGCTTCCAGAGGCCCGGGGGAGGGCCAGGGAGCAGCAGAAGGTCCCGGCGCTGACCCACCCAGCCATCTGGCTTCTCTGCTCCCCAGTCCCTGAAGCCAGCTGTATCCTTGGAGCCAAAGCGGCCCTGCACCTAGGACAGTCGGCAGGTGGGGATGCAGCCAAGAGACCAGGCCCTCAGGACGTGGGCGGTCCTGTCCTCACCCACCATCCTATCGGGCTCGCATACCTGTGTGACCACAACCCACATTACCAATGGGGCCAGGGACACAGCAATCTCAGCCAGGTCAGCCCACGAGGGCCTCTGAGATGTGGATGCTTCCTGGGCCAGTGGCACGGGGGGACACTGAGGCCAGCCCTCCCACGTCCCTCGGGTGCTGTGTGTCAGCGGACAGGCTGCCCTGGAGGTCCAGACTCAGCCTCTCTGGGGACAGTGGCCCCACCTGCTACACACCTGTCTGGCTCATTCAGACACAGGCACACAATTCCCAGCACTGCGGGGTGTACCATGCATCTGCCCTGGAGGACAATGAGGCAGGGGGACCTTGATCCAAGCTCCAGGCCACCTTCCCAGTCCAGGCAGGACCCCACAGGCCAGCCAGGGCTCCTGGGCCTCCTGGGATGCTGTTCACGGGTGGGCAGAGGGCTCAGGCCACCTCGGGGCACCTCCGGACCCAGCCCTGAGGCCTCTCCCTGCCCCTAGTTCCTGGTTCCTTCCAGAAGCTTCTGCTGACCCCTGAATGCTTCAGGAACTTGGGATCTGGCATCTCTTGTCCCCGCCACTCAGGCCAAGTGCCTGCCCTTCCCACCTGCTGCACCAACAGGCCCTGGGCCTCCCTGTGTGGCCTCAGCGGAGCCTCCACACCCAGGTCTCAGGGTCCTGGAGAGCCTGCCGGTCACATGGGCTGGACCAGGAGCCCCAGAACCACTGCCAGGCCAGCCGGAGCCAGCAGAGGCCACAGCCATATGCTCCTCACTGGCCTCAGAGAGATGGGCCCCTGAGCCAGCCTCTCTGCTTCCCCAGAACAGGCAGGCCACAGGAATGAGCATGCTCTGTCCTCAGCCCAAACTGCAGCCTAGCCATGAGGGTCTGCCTGTCCACTGGCTCAGGAGGGAGGTCGGGGTCAGCAGGTACCCTTCAACGTAAAGAAACCTACCTGCCCTCCCCTTGAAGGGTGGCATGGGGCTGGACCCTACCCTGGAGGCAGGGGGCACTCCTCCAGCAGTCAGGCACCCCCCAACCCCCTGCAGCTCTTCCTGGGATGTTTGTGACATGGGTCCCAGGAGCACTCAGGAGAGGTGGGACTCATCCCCGCTGAGGCTGTGCCAAGTGCGTTCCCAGCACCCCTGTGACCCCAGGAGGCAGACACACTTCTCATAGAATGGACCCCTGCAGGCTGGCCCCAGACCCTGCTGCCTCCCTCAATCCCAACACTGGCCGCCTGCCACACTCCCTTACCCCCTGCCCCAGCCCCACTGTGCGTCCCCTCCCTCAACCTGGCAGGGCACAGAAGCCTCATGAGTGGAGACAAGTCAGGGGCTCGGAAACCCTCTGGCCCCTGCTCTGCCCAGCTCCTTGTCTGGGCTGGCTAAGGAAAGCCTCCAGTGCAGTGCTGCCCACCAAGGAAGGGGCCAAGCCTGCCAGCCCTGGGCTGCCTCAGGTCCCAGGAGAGCAGGGCTCGGCCCAGAGGAGCCAGGGGGAGACGCACCCCAGCTGGGGAGCCCTCTGCCTCCCTCACCAGTGCCCGCAAGGTCTCTGTCCCAGCAGAATGTGGACAGCCAGGAGCCCATCTCAGGAACAGGCATCATCAGAGGTGGGTGAGTGGCAGGCAAGTAACCAAACCTCTCCTTGCCTCAGTTTCCTTGGCCATAAATAGAGAGAAAAGTAACAGGCCGGGCATGGTGGCTCACTCCTGTAATCCCAGCACTTTGGGAGGCAGAGGTAGGTGGATCACAAGGTCAGGAGATTGAGACTATCCTGGCCAACACAGTGAAACTCCGTCTCTACTAAAAACAAAAAAATTAGCCAGGTGTGGTGGTACGCGCCCCTAGTCCCAGCTACTCAGGAGGCTGAGGCGGAAGAATCACTTGAACCCGGGCAGTGAAGGTTGCAGTGAGCCGAGATCGAGACACTACACTCGAGCCTGGCGACAGAGACTGCGGGGTGGGAGGAAGGACACCTCTATGAGCCTGGGATGAAGACAAAGTGGCCGCACGTGTGAAACGCTCAGCATAGTGGCAGTGTTTGTGCAGCCAGGACGCTGGTGGGCAGCTTTGGGCACTTCATGCTGGGGGAGCCCCAGGTCACACCCCGAAGTTCTCCATGGGTCACGGACTTGGTTTGGTGAGAAGCAGCAGCAGGGGCCGGGCTTGCTCGAGGAGGCCTGAGGAAATGGTCACCTGGCCACACTCCTGTCCTTCCCTAAACTGTCCCCAACAGACCAAGGGGCTGGGACTCAGAGACAGGTTCCAGCCAAGGCAGCCAGAGACTCAACCAATTCCTCGCCAGGCTCAGGACGCCACAGAGATGGGTCCCTGAGCCAGCCTTTCCGCTTCCCCAGAACAGGCAAGGCCACCGGAATGAGCCATGCCCTCTACCACGGGGCCCTGAAGTCCCCTGCAAACGCAGCTCCCAGCCTGCTCACACGGAAGGGTTAGACTAGGGTGGGCGCGGACAGGGCCAGGTGTGCCGTGGTCCTCAGCAGCCAGGAGGGTGGAAATCCCAGGGGAGCCCAGCCCAGGGTCCCCTCTCCGCGGACCTGCACGCACCCCAGCTTCAGGGCTTCTGCAGCCTAAACACGAGGCCAGGGTAAGAGTAACGACCTCATGGGGCCCTTGCCCTACAGCCTGCCCCCTCCTCCCTAAATAAGCCTCCTGTCCTAAAGGAGACCCCCGCACTGGTGGCTGGAGTTTCGGTTTATCAGGAGGCTGGGCAGGGGCGGTGGGCACCCTGGGGGGAGTGGGGCCCAGGACAGCGTCTCCACGCGCCTTCTCTGTCCAGGCTCCTGGGGGCGGGAGGAGGTCGGCCAAGCAGCAGAGCTCGGCTCTGGGAACCAGTCGGAAAAAGGCCGCCCACCCACCCGCGCAGAGAAGGGCTTAGGGCCGGCAGCCCCGGGGGACCCTGGCTGAGCCTGTTTCCCCGGACCCACGGGGCACCGGCCAGCGCCCGCTGACAACTTTTAAACCGCCTGGAAAACTCCAAAACAACTCGGGGGCCGGGAGCCGGCGCGGGAGCGGACCCCAGCGGCAGGCGCTGTACGCGTGGCACTGTTTACGCGAGCGGCCCGGGAGGCGCGGCCGCGGGAAGATGGCGACGGCGAGGGCGGGGCCGGCCGGGCGGGGCTGCGGCCGGGGCCTGCGCGCCTCCTCCTCCAGGCTGGCCGCCGGGGCGCGCGGCGGCGGCGCCGACGAGGGCCGCGGGCCGGGAATCGGGGCCCCGGGAGCACGCTCCGGGCGGGGGCGAGGGTTCGGGCCAGGCGGGGGCGGGCGCGGGGGGCGGTACCTGTTGTTCGGGGCCTTGCGCACCAGGCCGGCCGCCTTTGTTTTCTCCCTGGCGAAGTCGCCGTCGAAGGGCAGCACCGAGGCGTAGCCGTGCTCGGCCTCTGCGGGGACACGGCGCGGTCAGCGGCCCCCGCCCGGCCCGGCCCCTCCGCCCGCCCATCGCCGCGGGCGCACAATGGGGCGCGGGCGCTACCTCGCTCCCTGCGCTCCAGGTACTCGGCCGCCTCCAGCAGGATCAGCAGGGAGTTCAGCTCCATCCTCCTGCCCGCGCCCGCTCGCACGCCCCGGGACGGCGGCGGCCGCTGCCCGGCCCGCTCCGGCCGGCTCCGCTCGCCGCTCGCCCCGCGCGCCCCGCCGCCGCACTTCCAGACTCCGCGGACTCCGGCGCTCGGCCGCCACCCTCCGCCTCGGGCCCTCAAATTGACACATAAGGGCGAGCGGCGGCCCGCAGAGCCAATGGGAGGCGGCGCTCGGGCTCCGGGGGCGGGCAGCGGGCCGGGCCGGGGCCAATGGGGACGGGCCGAGCGCCTTGGGCGGGGCCGAGAATGTTGACAGATGCGGAGCTGGGCTGCGATAGGCCGGCCGCGCTAGTAACAATTTAGAAGCCCGAGCTTAGCAACAGCACGTGGTGGCCCGGCCCCCGCGCTAGCTGACTGGCGGCCGCCGTGCATGTTAAGTAGGCGCCGGGCGCCGATTGGCCAGAGCGGCCTATGTAAAGCAGGCCCGGCGGCCCAATGGCCGGTGGCGGGGCGTGCGGCCAATGAGGGCGCCGCGGCCGGACTCGTTGCCGAGAGGAAGCGCCGCGCGCGGGGGCCGCCCGCCGGCGTGAGGGCCCGTTAGGACGCCGGGGCGGCTGGGCGGCGCGGGCGCAGCGAGGCGCTCGGGGCGTGCGCCGGGCGGGCCGCCGGGTCTGAGCGCGGCGGAAGCAGCGGCTCCGCGGGCTCCGGGGCCTCGCGCTGTACCTGGCGGCGAACGGCTCCCCTCCCCGCCGGACGCAGAGTGGCCCCCGGAGAGGCCGGGACTTCGGCCCTGAGCCCCAGGGCCAGGCCTCTGAGGGTGTCAGTGGGGAGACAGGCCCAGCGCGGGCGGGCTGGACGCCGGACTGCGGGGGGCCCAGGGCTGGGGAAGGGACACACACGGGCGGCCACAGCGGAGGCTCCCCGGAGCGGGGCGGGGGGTGCGTCCTCTGTGTCTGGCCTGAGGGTTCCCAGGGGCAGGCACTGGGCGCCTGTGGCCACGGACGCTCTAGGGAGGGGAGTGAACGCTTCATCAAATCCCAGCGGGCGGGTCGCCCTAGTGACCCCTGATCCTAAGGCTGGCCCAGGAGGGGCAGGACTGGGGAGCGCAGACTGGCCCCGGCACTCCCAACCCTTTCGCTGATCTTTTTTTTTTTTTTTTTTTTTTTGAGATGGAGTCTCCCATTGTTGCCCAGGCTGGAGTGCTACGGCGCGATCTTGGCTCACTGCAACCTCTGCCTCCTGGGTTCAAGTGATTCTCCTGCCTCAGCCAACTTAGTAGCTGGGATGACAAGCCTGCACCACCACGCCCGGCTAATTTTTAGTAGAGACGGGTTTTCACCATGTTGGCCAGGCAGGTCTCGAACGCCTGGCCTCGTGACGTGCCTGCCTCAGCCACCCAAAGTGCTGGGATTACAGGCGTCAGCCACCCCGCCCGGCCCCTCTCGCTGATTTTTGAGGTTGGCCTGGATGTGCCTAGGGTAGACCCTGCAGGCTGGACCCCTGCAGAACTTCTCAGTGGGGCACAGGGGCTGTTGCTGCGAAACTGAACAAAAATGATTAAAACCTCATGTGCATCTCGCTCTGTGTTTTGCATGCCCGACTACAGATCAGGATATGGGACTAGAGGTTCAGGGATTTGCTAGGGTCTCCCAGAAATCTCATCAAAATGAAGATTAGTGCTGCCACACACGACCCAGGGCTATGGGAATGCAGAAGCCAGAGCCTCCTGGCCTGGCTGGACCTGCTGGGTGTAAGCCTGTGACCTGTGCTTCAGAATCGTGTGTTCCCCTAGAGCCCCGCAGTGGGGAACTTGGACACTGGTCTGAGACAGCCCTGCATGGACATTGAAACAAGCCCTTTGATGGTAGCCAGACCCTTCCTGTTCCTGCACCACAGTCACTCCAGGGCCAGGGCAGAGCCCCTCACAAGAACTCAGCACCATGGCCCTCCACTTTAGTCTGTGGGCTGCCCAGAGCTGTGCATGTAAAGGTGTCCAAGTCTGGGGAGGAGCAGGGGTGTGTGGACTCAGGGGACCCCAGCTCTCCACTTCGTGGTCAGCATTTTGCAGAGTTGCTCCATCCAGCTCTGGCTGCTGGCTGGGTTGGTGCTGACACCTAAAGCGGACACTTGGCCTAGTATACGTGCACCTGCTGTCCAGAGTGCATGCCCTCTTCCTGCCATGGGGTGAGAGGTTTGTTCCGTGCGGCAGTGGGCAGCACAGGGGTGCAGGTGTGTCTATGGGGAGCACCTGCATGCTGCCACCAGTCTAAGAGACTTTAGCCTCAATTTTGGCCATTTCGGGAACCACCTCTGTCTCCCACCACACCAGGAAACAAGCACTTCCCTGGTGTCCCTGGGTTCAACCTTGCCTGGGAGTGTGGGCACCACTGCCTGGGGGAGGAGAAAGGAGTGGGGGTGGGGAGGAGAAGGTTCGGGAGGCAGTGGATGACCAGGGGCTGAGGTGCAGCCAGGGAGGGGGTGCTGGAGGCATCAGCCAGCAGGGGCAGGAGGAGAGGAAGGGGAGGGAGCAGACAGGTGAGGCCTGGAGGTGAGTTGCCCTGGCCCAGACGGCTCAGGTGGGCCTGGAGCCCTGCCAGGAGAGGTCTGGAGCCCCTGGGGGATGAGGGTGCTGGTCCCTCCTGTGGCTGGCAGGGTCTCTACACCCATGGGTCTCAACTTGTCCCTACCAAGAAGGGCAGAGGCACCTCAGGTCAGTGCTGGCAGGCACCAATGCCCACGGAGTCCCAGGGCAGTTGAGGGGTGAGGAGGACGTGGCTCTGGTCAGCCAGTTGGACCCAAGCCCCGGCAGGGCATGGCCACGCCCCCTTCATTATGGCAGTCCACTGTAGGGCGTGGCATCTCCAGGGAGCCCTCCATGGGCTCAACCTGCTGAGGGAGGCTCCTGCCTAGCCCTGCCCTTCTCCAGAGCCAGGACCTGTCCAATGGGCACCACACCAGTGAAGGCCAAGAGGGAGGGGGCAGAATCTTCAGCCTGTTTCCCTGGGGAGTCCAGTCCCCCCACCCTACTCTGGGAGGACCTCTCTATCCCATTCCTTGGCCCCCAGGAGTCACCCCCTTCCTGCCTCATCCTCTGAGCCCCGCCCCCTTGCATTCTCCCTGGGTCCTTCGCCCTCACTGTCTCCTTTCCCTCATGACAGCCCTCCCAGTCCACTCCAGACAGGGGCTCCCAAGGAAGGGATAGGGCCTGAATGCAGAAGGGCTACCCTGGTTTTGGGTGGACGGCCAGGGCGGGCTTGTCTTCTGTTGCCTGGATTTCCTGAGTTGTCTTACGCCAGCCTGCCCCAGCCTCAGCTTCCCTGGCTATGAACAGGGCTGATGGTGCTGCCTCTTGGGACATGTGCAGGCCAGAATAAAGGATTCTCGGTTTGGCTTGGGAAAGGCCACCCACTGATTCCCCACCCCCTGGATCCGTGGGAGTATCTAAGGTTGGCGCCAAAGAAGCCTCCAGAAGTCAGTTTCCCAGCCTTCCTGTACCCACTAGGCCTCAGAGCCACAAACTCCTCATGGCTACCACGCATGGCTTCTCGGGGTGTGTAAGCCTCAGCACGGCCTCAGAGAGCACCCTGTACACACCAGGGAGGGAAGCTTGGCCAGGCGCCGGCAGTGGCAGAGCCTCTTCCCACACTTCCAGGCTGACCCTGATCCCCCCAACCTGGCCTCTGACACTGGGGGCCTCCCCCCTTGGGCCTCCTGTTACTGGGTGGACTGCCTGCAGCCCCCAGGTCCCCTGCCCCAGCATTCTGGCAGATTTTGGTCTGTGGGGGGGCCCAGGTCAGGGATGGAGAGCAGCGACCCACTCAGCATGTGCCCAGTCCCCCGAGGCCTTGGCCCCTCTGCAGCAAGAGGCCTGGTTGTATGCCGGCACCAGGGGGGTCCTCTGGGCCCTCTCCCTTGAAGCCACCCTGGATTCTAGTCCCAAGTCACTTAACTTCCTCGAGCCTGTTTCCTGGTCTATAAAATGGGGGCGATGGTACTTGCCTCTTGGGTGGTTGGGACGTGTCGTGCAAAGCCCTGGGCAGCAGCGGGCCGGGCACTAAAGGGTGCCCAGGAAGTACCAGGAATATGAACATCAGCTCCAAATCAGCAACAGCCTCCAACCCCTCAGCCCTGCCCACAGAGAGCCAGGGCTTAGGGGAGACAGGGCCTGCCCAGTCTTAGCCGGTCAGTAGCAGAGTCTCGCTCAGAACCTGGGTGGAGCTTCGGCTAACGGGGCTGGCCAGCCACAGGCACCAGGCCAGGCCTCTTGGGAGCATTCCAAAAAGTTTGACACTCAGGAAAACATTGTTTCCAGAATACAAAAAGAAGATGGCACAATCAAATTGCATGGAGATGTAATTAAATGTTTACATAACCTAACATAATGTCAGTGTTATTTTTAAATTTAAAATAAGGTCATTCCATTTGTGAATAATTGGTGGGGTCAATTTTTTTTTCGTTTTTACCAGGTTTTCCCAGCATGCTGATGACCCCCAGACAACTCAGACAACTGTAAATTAAATGAATTTCCTATGGCCCCAAATGTCCAAAAGCAAAAGAGTAAAATTTCCTTTCAAAAACTTTTTCAAGAGAAAGCCAAGTTTATGCAGGAGGGATGTGGGGGCAGATTCAAGACACTTGCTGCGGTGTTGGGGGGTGGCCTCCAAAACTGGGAGGCCTAGAACCTCTGAAGCTGGACAGGCCCTGCCTGGCCCTGCTGCTGTTCTGGGAGCCCCTTCCCTGAGGCCTGGGGTCAAAGGGCAGGTCCTCCTCTCATGAATGGTAGGGGTGCTGCTATCTGGGCAGGCTTCCTGGAGGAGGTAGGTGTGTGGGGCCTGAGAGCACCTCCAGGACTCTGGGGCATGGGGGTGATATGGGTGGGCACTTTGAGGCCTGCCTGTTTCCCCTGAGCTCCCACTGCAGAGTCTAGAGGGCAGGAAGAGCAGGGGTTGGGCGCTGGTGGAGGCATCAGTGCACAGATGCCACAAAGCTGCCTCTCCAGGGTTCTGCCAGCTCCCCGCCTCAGCTTGGTGGCACAGGCGTCCAGCTCCAACCAGGACCACTGGGGGTATGGTCTGTCCTGCCCATGGTCATTGCTGTGCCAGCCAGGGGGGTCCAGCTCTTTGGAGCCTCCTCCCAGGTGTAGGACCCTGAGGACTAGGCCTGGCCACTGGGTCAGGCTGCGCTGGGGGCTCTGTCCAGACTTAGGGTGCCTTGCCACAGTGGGGTGACCCCAACACAGGCAGGACCTCAGGCTGTGCTGCTTCGAGGAGGCGGTGGAGTAGGGCGACCCTGGTGGCCATTAGGGGCAGTGGTGGGAGGATGAGTGGGGATGGGAGAGGTGGGCTGGGCCGCAAGAGGGGAGGGGACAGTCCCTGCCTCAGACCCGCTCCCTGGCCCCTCACTTCATCCCAGCAAGGATGTGCACCATCTGAGCCTTCCTGCGGTCTCACCCCAGGCCTCCCCTGAGCCACCTGCCCCTTTGCTCACAGCCTCCTTACCCCGGCTCAGCCCAGGAACCAGCACAGCCAGTGCGGGCGGGTGGGGAGCTTCCTGCCTGAGGAATGGCCGAGGTACAGATGAGCCACAGGGAACCCACCACAGTACGGCTGGTGGGGACCTCGGGAGATGCCTCAGGCTGCAGCGGGCAGGGCCGGACGGGGTGCCGCACTCCCAAGATCAGGTATGGCGATGGTCTGTCTGCCCCAGGGCTTCCTCCTGAGCCCCAGGCAGTGCAAGGAGGCCTGGCCCAGGCAGCCTCAGCCTTTCCCCAGCTGCTGGGACCAGGAACCCGGTGCTCAGGGCTGGGCAAACCCCTGCCTCCACAGCACCGTCCCTGGAAGTGGCCTCTAGGCACCACCCAGCCACCATTGGCCATGGCCCATGCTTCCTGGAATGCCTCCCATCAGAGGACACTTCTGTGTCTGCCTCTTGGAGACCCTCCTAGATGCCCACAACCCAGTTCTGTCACTTACAGACCTCCTCGAGCCTCAGTTTCCCCATCTACAACACAGGGATGCTGCTCCCTCGAGGGGCTGTTGTGGGAGTAGACAGGCCTGCTCAGGAAATGACGGCAATGATGGTAGCAGTGGAGAAACTGAACTCACAGGAGCTGGCCCATGGCACTCTCCTGCCCCCAGCACAGAGACTGCGGTCCCCAGCCCCATCTGTGGGCAGGCAACAGGCCCTCCTTTCTAGAGCCTTCCAGAGCTGGTTCTGCCTTGGCCCGGTCTTTCTTGCCCCCAGGTCCTGGCTTTGCCCTTGGGGTGGGCATAGCCCCATAGATGGGTAGAGTGGCCACATGTCCTGCCTTTAGTATGGAAGTCCTGCAGCTCAGGAAACCTCTCATTCCTGGGGGAACAAGACAGTTGGTCACCCTTGCTGGGGGGCTCCTGCGGCCCCAGGCTTTCCTGCAGGGCAGCTCTTGGAGAAGGCTGCCCTCTCTGCTTCCCCCTGCACAAGGCAGCCAGGGCTGGCCTAGAGGGCTGCCGGGGCACAGGCCACATCCAGACCTCTTCGGGGAAGACCTTTCTTCCTGGTCTCCGCTCACTCTGCCACCGCTGACCTGGTGGACGAGGAGGACTCCGTGCCTGGGCCTGGAAGCGGCCAGCATAGGTGCCCAGGAGCAGGCAAGGGGTGTGGCGCAGCTCCATGCAACATGGCTGTCCACCGGGGTGGGCGTGGGGCGGGCAGGCCAGCTCAGAGTCCCCTGGATGTCCCTTATTCTCTGCTCCCAAATAACAGCCCTGCTCAGATGAGGCTCCACATTCCAACACACTTTCTCCCTTGCCAGAAATAAAGCGCCCCAAGTATCTGCCCACCCACCAGTGCCCACCTCCAAAGGACAGGGCACCCGAGTCCCATGGTACAGGCCCATCGTCAAGGCAACCCAGCCTGCAGCCGCCCTCCTGCCTTCTCTCTGGGACACTCCAGAAGGCAGCCGCTCTGAGTGCAAGCGGCACAGTGCTATGACCAGGGCCACGAGGTGGGACGGGCCCCAAGCTGGGGTGGCCACGAGCACTTAGACCTGCCCCCCACAGGCCAGGGGCTGAGCTGAAGACGCCCAGGCAGGTGGGTGGGAAGGTGGGGACAGGCATTGTGGGGGCAGAGCCCTGGAAGGTGAGAAGGGGCCAGCAGGAGGCAGGGGGTGGCCACCACTCCTGGGGGCTGGTGGGAGTCAAGTCCTGCCCTTTAATTGTCCCAAGAGTCCAGAAGCCTCCAGCTTCCTAGAGGAGAATGCGTGTTGGCACCAACCGCATCGCCTTCCAGGCAGAGAAAAGGGACCCGCGTTCACGGAAGAAAGGAGAGTGTCTGCAATTCTTCAATAGATTTATGGAAATGGCTTCGAATTACAGCATTTAGAAAATAAATATAATCTCGATACATAATATTTCTTCCATTATATACTCCCCTGCCAGAAGCCACTTCTAGCATGTGCACTCCACCAGTAAATAGTAATCAGGTTTATCCTAGAAAAGAAGCAGTAGGTGTGTCATCTCCAAAAATAAAACTGCAATCGTCATTACAACGTGAAGCCTGAGATTTAAGCCTGAGGAGGTGTCTGCTGGGCCACTCGGCTGCGGCAGCCTGGGTCCCAGGCCGCTCTGGGGTGTGAGGAATGGGCAGGGTTCCCGGGGGGGCAGAGGGAAGGAGAGGTTGTGGCCACGCTGGTGGCCCCGGGCGTCCTGGCTGATTGGTAAGCCTGACCCAAGGCCCCCAGCAACCTCTGCCTATGGCGTCAGCGCCTGGTCGGACCCCCACGCCATCAGCAGGGGGGAGCACCCTGCCTCCCTAGAGGACCGCTGGGTCAGCTTCCCGCCTGTCCCCGCTCCAAGAAGGAATGAGATGCATGTTGTTTAGCCACGTCCTGAGGAAGGATGGGGGTGGCGGGGTGAGGGCTGGGGAACGAGGTGGGCCGCTGTGGGGGAGAATGGGCCGCCTGCATTTTGGGTTTGGGAGGCACATGGGGAGTCCTGCTGCACTGCAGAGCCTGCAAAGTGGCCCTCACTCCGGCTTCCAGATTCACCACCACAGCAGAGGCAGCGGAGCGGCCCCACTCCCGCCCACCTCCAGCACCCACCCCGATTCCCACAGCCCCCGAAGAGCTCCAACGTGCCTTCCCCGCCAGGCACCCTGCCCTGGGCGAGCCACCAGGCTCCTCCGGGTCCACTGCTGGGCAAAGCTGACCTCCTGTCAGCCCCTGCAGCCGGCTGGGGTCCCTGCGGGGAGGCAGGGTGGGCGAGACAGAGGCTCTGGATACTCTAGAGGTCTGGGCAGCCCTGGAGTGGTGGGGGCTCATGAGACGCTGTGAGACCCGCCTGCAGCACTGCCCCTCCTTCCTGGAGGTTCCTGGCCCAGGGCAGGTTTGGGCTGCCCCTGGCGCTGCGTCACAGGCCGGCCTTGTCGCTGTAGAAGGGTGTGACGTGGAACACGTAGCAATGGGTGCACACTCGGACTGGCTTCACCTGCCCGTAGCGGGGCAGCGGCGCTGAGTGTGAGGAGCAGCGGGAGCAGAAGATCTGGAAGGGGGTTGGGGCAGTGAGGGTCCGTAGCAGGCCGGCCCCACCCACCCTGGCTCCTCGCCCTCCCACATGCCCACCCACCCAGCTCAGGACGCATTGGTGGGTGGGGACCGCTCGGCCCTGGGTGATGGGGCTGTGGTGCTGGGACCTTGAGGCGGCTGCACTCCATGAGGGGTCCACATCCTGCCCCAAGGCTGCTGCAGGCTCCAGTTCACACCCGCTGTCCCCTCCCTGGGGCTGGACCTGGGCACCATCCAGGTCCCATGGCCAAATGCCTGGAGTCAGAGCAGGGCCCAGGAACTTCAGGGGCTCTGCACAAGATCCCACGGGCCTCTCCGGCCTCCCTGGGCATTGGTCCCAACTGCCAGACCTCAGGCTGTGTCCACGGTCACCCTTGAGTGCTGGGGGACCCTCTGTGCACGGGGGGGTCCCACCCACCTTCCCGCAGCTGCGGCAGTGGTGCTTCCGGCGGATGACGGTGAAGGGTGCCTTGCACGCCGTGCAGAAGCCACAGGCCTCGTCTGGCACCCACTCAGGGGGCTCTGTCACAACAACAGCAGCTTCACATCAGCAACGGCAGGGGCAGGTAGGCTGGGCCGGCACCCTCAACCTGCCCTGGGCCCTCCTTCCCATCCCAGACTTCCAAGCTGCCCGACCTCCAGCCAGCCTCCCGGGGACGGTCTCCAGCTCTCACACCTGGACTGGGTGGCCTGCAGCCCCTCCCCCAGGAGGAAGGCTGGCTCCCACGGCCCCCACTGGTTTCTGGTGCAGGTCCCAGGCCAGAGCCTCCTACACACCTTCAAAGTCCCCATCGCGGGTCTTGGCTGCCAGTTCCGAGGACGACAGAGTCTCCTGGCACAGTGCACAGTCCTCCAAGGCTGCACTCCGCAGAGTCTGGGTGACTGATGGAGAAAAGGGGGCTGTCAGGTAGGGTGAGGGGTACAGGCAACTGATGCAGGGTCACCTGCACCTGCTGGGCACAGCTGGGGGCTTCCAGCCGTGGGTCAGCTCCCCAAGCCCCTGGCAGTCTTATGGCAGGTGGCACCACGAAATGTTGGGCACTGATCCTGGCTGGGACTCTTCCTGGGCAAGGGCCTCTCCTTTGCACAACATGGGGGCCCAGAAGCCTGTGGCTGCTGCCCCCAACAGAGGCATCCAGCTCTGGGGCCCTGCATGGCCCGTGTGTAGCCAGGACCCGAGCTCACAGCCTCTGTGTGCAGAGCAGAGCCACGTCACCTGCTGTCTCTGAATCACGATTTCCAGAAAGCAGCCCTGCCAACTTCCCTGGTGGAATGCTGCCTGGCGGTGTGGATTCTGCAGGGCAGAGCTGGGTCAGCACATGGCCTCCTCCCTGTTGGGCCAGAGCTCCGGGACCAGGCGGGCTGCCCTGTGTGCCTGGACACTCCATGAGCAGGAGCCCCTGTGGCAAGGGGTGACTTTGCCAGAAGAGGTGCCTCAGCTTAGCACCAGGGCACCAGGGGTGGCGAGCAGGGGCTGAGCCCCCTTTCCCGCCCTGGATCCTACCGGAACCAAGGGCCAGACTCCCTGTGCCTAACCAGTCCCTGCCCTGATGTTTTCCCTTCAAGATAATGTAGGTGCATGTGTGAGTGAGAGCGTATGTTCACATGCTGAGCGTATGTGTGTGCAGGTGTGAGGAAGCATAAGTACATGTGTGCATGTGTATGTGTACATGGGTGTGGGCACACATGAAAGCATGCATGCATGTGTGTGTGCACGTGTGTGTGTGGGTATGCATGAGAACGTGTGTGCATGTGTGTGTGCACATGTGCATGGGTGTGGATAAGCATGAGAACGTGCATGCATGTGTGTGTGCATGGGTGTGGGTAAGTATGAGAATGTGCGTGCACGTGTGTCTATGCATGTGTGCGGGTGTGGGTATGCATGAGAACGTGCGTGCATGTGTGTGTGCATGTGTGTGTGTGTGTGTGGGCATGCAAGGATATGTGTGTGCATGTGTGTGTGCGGCTGTGAGTATGCATGTGTGTGCGTGGGTGTGGGTATGCAAAAGAATGTGTGCATGTGTGTGTGCACACGCGCATGGGTGTGGATAAGCATGAGAACATGTGCGTGTGTGTGTGCTTGCGTGTGTGTGTGGGTGTGGGTATGCATGAGAACGTGTGTGTGTGTGTGTGCGCACCTGTGTGCATGGGTGCAGGTAAGCATGAGAACATGTGTGCATGTATGTTTGTGCACGTGTGTGTGAGGGTGTGGGTATGCATGAGAATGTGCTTGTATGTGTGCACAGGTGTGTGAGGGCGTGGGTATACATGAGAACATGCATGTATGTGTGTGTGCACGTGTGCGTGTGGGTATGCATGAGAATGTGTGTGCATGTGTGTGTACATGTGTGCGGGTGTTGGTATGCATGAGAACGTACATGCATGTGTATGTGCGTGCAGGTGTGGGTATGCATGAGAATCTGTTTGCATGTATGTGCATTTGTGTGCAGGTGTGGGTATGCACGAGAACGTATGTGCATGTGTGTGTGTGCACGTCTGTGGGGGTATGTATGAGAACATGTGCATGCATGTGCTTATGTGTGAATGTGGGTGTGGGTATGCATAAGAACACATGTGTGTGTGCACGTGTGTGTGCGGGTGTGGGTATGCATGAGAACCTGTGTGCATGTGTGTGCTTATGTGTGAATGTGGGTATAGGTATGCATGAGAACATGTGTGTGTGTGTGTACATGTGCGTGCGGGGGTGGGTATGCATGAGACCGTGTGTGCATGTGTGTATGCATGTGCCTGTGTGTGAGATGGCTGTGAGAGTGTGCCTGTGTGCTTGTCCTGTGCCGACCGTGTGTGACACCTCAGCAGCTCATGGGCAGCAGCAGACTCTGCTACCCTCATAGGGAGGGGAGTTCAGGGTCGGCTGCCTCCCACTGCTCTGAGAGGTGGCACTCAGTGGAAGGGATGCTGCACCACGGCCGAGTCTCATCCTTAAGAGGGAGGGTGTGGACACTCCCAGCCTCCATCAGAGCCAGAAGTGAGGTCATCTTGCTGCTGCATGGCCAGTGGACAGGAGCCGAAGCTGTGGGCATCACCCAGAGGCCCTGGCCCATCTGCTGGTTTGCAGGGGTGGAGCCACTTCCCGGGCAGGTAGCCTGTCTGGGCACTTCCTGGGCCTGCTGCTCTGCCCCTTGGCTCCCCAGCAGGCAGGGCAGCCTGGCACATGTGGAGTGTGGAGGTCTTGTGAATCCTGGGGTCCATGATTGCTTGGTAGGGCCCTATTTGCCCAGGGCTGGAAGATGAGGATTTCTGTGGGCAGGGACACAGCCACCAGTGCAGCCACAGAGCCTGTCCTGAGTGGGCACTCACCCTTCCTTAACTTGTCCTTGTCATCTGCTTCTGGCTTGGTGGCCATGACCTCAAACAGCGTTTTGAGAATACTTCTCAGGTCACTGGCATAGTTTGTTTGCAGCTGGTCAGCCACACCTGAGGGAGGAAGACCACGGTAACAGACAGAAGGACGAATGGAAGGAACTTTGGAGGTCGGTGCTGTGGGCTGGGCCGACCCAGCCAGAGCTCACAGCCGAGACCAGCATGTTCTCAGATCAGTAAGGGAAGGAGGAGGCCCATCCCCTTGGGGGAGGATTCCCTTGAGAGGAATAAAAACTTGGGAGTTGAGAAAGAGCAGGGGAAGGGAGAGGACCACACAGACACCCCCGCCACAGTCTGTCTGCCACTGACATTCACAACTTTTATGCACAGGCCACAGCCCTCACTGCCGAGCTGGCCCGGCCATGTGCTGAGGGACACTCACAGAGCCCCTGTACTGTGCCCACACCCAGAATGACACAGCCCCTCAGGCATCCAGATGTGTCTACCTGCAAAGCGTGCCCCCACCCCCACTGCAGGAACAGCCCCCAACAGCCTATGTGGCTGAGAGCCCAGGGTGGACCCTGCCCAGCGGTGGTACCAGCACTGGCTCTCCCGTCCCCAAACCCCATTGCCCCCGCCACCACTCCCTGGAGGAAAATGCCTCCCTACCTCACCTGCAGACCCCTCCCGCTCCTCCCGCCTGTGTGAGGTCAGTCCAGCCTTCTCCATGAGGAGGAGTGCTTGCTCCTAAGCGGCAGAGCAGGCTGCCGTTTCCAAGAAAGTGATGGGGAGGCTGTATACACCCCGCCTGACCTCCAGTAAAGTGCAGCCCATGTGCCCTCAAGCCATGCGCCCGTCCCAGGCCCCAAGAGGGCACCTGAAATGCAGACGAACAGGCGGTGAATAAGGTCGTGGCTGCCATGGAACCTGGACCGGATCTTCTCTCTCGTGGCCTGTGGGGCGACGGGTGTGGCTGCTGGGGCTGCCTCTGGCCCCGTCTTGTCTGAGGAGCAAGACCCAGCCGCGGAGCTGCTGCGTGGAGAAGGAGACAGGGTGTGTGGGTGGGTTACAGGGAGGGGCTGCGGAGCCGGAAGGTCACTGGTCAAGGCAAAAGTCTGTGTCGTCGCAGATGCCCACCCCACAGGTGTGGGTCTGTGGCCCAGATACACAACTTTCCTATCACTTAACCTAAAACGTCCTCACCACGTAAGCCAGGTGGTGCGACAGGGCTCTCAGCCAGTCCCAGCCCTGTTCTGGGCCTCTGATTTCTGCTGGGCCTCCTGGAATTGACACTGGTGGTGACTCACCCACTGAGGCTGCGCTCCTGTCTTAATATCCACCCACTTCCCCGACGGAAGCGTCAGCTCACCTTGCATGCCTTTTCTAACGGCCTGTCAGGCGGCCCCCACCCTAGCCCCTGGAACCTGTGAACCTGACCTCATTTGGAAAGAGGGCCTCGGCAGCTGTCACTAGGTGAAGCATCTGGAGAGGAAGAGGTTGTCCTGAGTAAGCCGGACAGGCCCTAAGTCCAGTGACAAGAGTCCTTATGAGAGGCAGACAAGGACACAGACACAGGCGGGCGGAGAGCCCACATGGACACGAGGCTGAGACTGGAGATGCGGCCCCAAGCCAAGAACACCTGGAACCCCCAGAAGCTGGGAGAGGTGCGCGGCGTGAGGCTCTGCCGGAGTCTGGATTTCTGGCCTCCAGTCTGTGAGACAGTTTCTAGGGCTTAGGCCGGTGACAGCAGCCTCAAGAAACGAACACAGGATCCCCCGCCCCCACCCACACTTCCCATCTCCACCTTCCCACAGCTGCATCCTCAGCTTTGACCAGATCTGCTGTTCAGAGGTTCCCCGGTGACCCTATACGTCGTTCGCAGCTGGGCCTATACGAAGGCCTGTTCACCTTGCCCAACTCTAGGGGTGCACCCTGACCCCTCTCATTTTAATTTATCTTCTATCTATCTTTTTGTTCCATTTTCTGGGAAATTTCCTCCAACTTGTTCTTCTAAGTTTACTCTTGACTTTTAAATTTCTGCTATCAGGTTTTTAATTTACTGCTGTTACTGTTGTTTCATGGATGCAAAATCTTTTCTCTGCCTAGAAATATTCATGATCATTTTTTCCAGTTGCCACTGGTGTCCCGCGTGGCCTCCTTTGGAGGGCTTGGCTCCTTTACTTGGCCGTGTCTCACGCCGAGCCTCGCCCGAATGTTCGGGGATCCTCCTGTCGGAAAGGAGGAAGGGTGGGTGGAACAACCGGAACCTTCGCCTTGCTGGTGGGAGTGTCAACCGGTGCAACCACTTCGGAAGAAATGTTCGCACCATTTCGGTAAAACCAGGGCTGTCCACACTCCACAGCCCGGTGGCCTCTGTTGCCGGCACACGCTGGAGACACGGGTCTGCGTCTGTCTGCAGAGACGTGCGGTCTTAGAGTCAGCGCTGCTCCAGTGAAATGCTGGACAGGGTCCCAAGTCTGGGACCAACGTGATGGAAGATCGACCGTGATCTAATCACTTACCAGCAGAGGCCACAGAGGCGGAGGTGAGCCTGCCACGGCCCCGCCAACGCGAGTGAGTCACACGTGGCGTGAGTCCTTTCACACCGAGGGAAACTGCAGAACTGCCTGGTATCTAATTTAGGGACACAGCCTCATGACATCAACCCTGCAGAAGCACAGTGGCACGACGCACGTGAGAATTCAGGGCAGCAGGCTGCAGCAGAGGATAGGTAGGAGGCTGGAAGAGGCCCCAGAGTTGCACGGGGCTCCCTCCCTCACGGCGACATGCTAACAAGCTGAATATTCACTGGAACGTGGGGCCACGGTGGGAGGCTTGGGGGCCCTGGGCCCCTGGGATCAGATCCTCTGCTGGGACCCCGACGATGCTCTGTGGCTCTCCCCTCCCGGGTGGTGCAGGATCCACAAATGAAGCCCCTGGCCTTCAGCTTGGGGGTGTGGACCTTGCTGCCCTCTGCCCTGGGAGCTGAATGAGGGAGGGGCCTTTACTGTCCAGGATGTCAGCTTCCACTCAGTACCCCCAGCCTCATCACAGCCTTAACCAAAGGAACTAAAGCTGGGCTCAGACAGATACTACACACCCATGTTCACAGAAGCCGAGAGACGGCAGCAAGCCAGGTGTCTGCTGGCAGAGGTGTGGATAAGCCCAATGTGGTCCATCATTCAGTAGAATATTATTCAGCATTAAAAGGGAAGGAAATCCAGATCCAGGCTACGGCATGGTTGGATGTTGGCAACATCATGCTGAGTGAAATGACCTAGTTACCAGAGGATGGATCCTGCCCGAGTCCCCGACACCAGGTCCTGAGAGCCATCACGTTCATAGAGATGCAAAGTAGGACGCTGGGCGCCAGGGTGGGCAGAGGCCGGGGAGCGTGGATGGAGGGAGTGATGGGGAAAGGTTTCAGCTGGGGAAGAGGAGGACACTGGTGGGGGTTGCACAGCACTGAGTGTGTTCAATGCCATGAAACTGTACGCTTAGGAAGGGCTGAATAGTGAACTTCATGCTACATATATTTTACAAAAATTAAAAATACAAAAAAAAGAATTGGGGCAGGGAGAGCAGAGGAAAGGGAACAGGGGCAGCAAATGCATGGCAGAAGGCCGGATTGGCACAGCGCCCGACGCAGAAGGCTGGGGGTGTTATTACCAAAAACCACAGAACTGTGTGCTGTAGGAAGGTGAATTTTGTGGTATGTATGCTACATATCAATAAAGGCTTTAAAAAATCACTTGTGTGTAGATATGGTAGCAATAAACTGAAAGTGAAATTAAGGAAACAATCCTTAGTCCTTTGCAATAGCATAAAAAAATTAAAATACTTGGAATAAATTTAACAAAAGAAGTACAAGAATCATACGCTGAAAACAAGAAAACATTGTTGAAAAATATTAGAGGACCCACGTAAATGGGAGGACGTCTCGTGTTCACAGACCGGAAGACAGTATCGTTGAGAAGCCGCAACTCCCCAGATCCATCCACGCATTCAGCACAATCCACACGGAAGTGTCAGCTGCCTTTTTTTCCTTGCAGAAATTGACAACCTGATCCTAAAATTAATATGGAAATGATTCGAGGGACCCAGAATAGCCAAAAGAAGGAAAAAAAAAAAAAAACAAGTTGGAGGACTCACACTTGTGATTTGAAATTTGGCACAAAAGAACGGTAATGCAGACTGTGGCGCCAGCTTAGGACCGACATACAGACGAATCCGAGTCCGGAAATAACCCACACGCTTACAGGCGATGGACTCTCAGCAAGTGCCAAGACCACCGACGAGGTAGCAATAGTCTTTTCCACAAATGCTGCTGGAAAAGCAGAGACACGTGCAAAAGGATGAAGCTAAACTCACCTTATACCACATACGAAAATTAAGTTGAAATGAATTAAATATCTAAACGTCAGAGCTAAAACTCTAAATTTCTGTCTTTTTTTTTTTTTTTTAAGATGCTTTCTCACTCTGTCACCCAGGCTGGAGTGCAGTGGTGTAATCATGGCTCACTGCAGCTTCGATTCCCGGGGCTCAGGTGAGCCTCCCATCTCAGCCTCCCGAGTAGCTGGGACCACAGGTGCACACCACCATGCCTGGCTAATTTTTGTATTTTTAGTAGAGATGGGGTTTCACCGTGTTGCCCAGGCTGGTCTCGAACTCCTGGGCTCAAGGGATGCGCCCACCTCAGACTCCCAAAGTGCTGGGATTATAGGTGTGAGCCACCACGCCCGGGCTTAAAATTCTTAAGAGAAAACGTTAGAGTAAATCTTCATGGCGTTGGACTCGGCCACAGCTTTCTAGACGTGACACCTAAAGCACGAGCAGCAAAAGAGAAAACAGAACTGTGCTGCGTCACATTTAAGGCTCCCTGCTTCACAGGACGCCACCAAGAAAGTGAAGAGAAAGCCCACGGAATAATATCTGCAAATCATGTGTCTGATAAGGACATAGTATCTGCAATATAGAAAGAATTCTTACAGGCCAACAACAGAAAGACAAAAAACTGCTACTGAAAAAATGGAAAATGGATTTGAACAGACATTTTTCCAGAGAAGACACACACATGGCGAATAAGCACATGAACAGACTCCCAACAGCAATGTCAGTGGATGCCGAACGTTACAAGGAAATGCCATTTTATGGATTAGCATGATTAGAATAATGCCCCCCTCCCCCGCAAAAGAAAAAAAAAAAAAAAAACAGAAAATAGCAAGTTGTGGTGAGGAAGGGGAGGACATGAAGGAACTGGAATCCTCATTTCTTCCTTATGGGAATATAAAATGGCACAGCCCCTTTGGAAAACAGCTGAGTGGATAGACAAAATGTGGTCTATCTGTGTAATGGAGGAAGTTTTCAGCCATGGACAGGAATGAAGCACTTCCATGTGCCACAGTGTGGATGAACGTTGAAAACATCATACTGTCATCCCAGCACTTTGGGAGGCCGAGGCGGGTGGATCACTTGAGGTCAGGAGTTCGAGACCGGCCTGGCCAACATGGTGAAAACCTTTCTCTCCTAAAAATATAAAAATTAGCCGGGCGTGGTAGCAGGCACCTGTAGTCTCAGCTTTGCAGGAGACTGAGGCAGTAGAATCACACTTGAACCCGGAAAGCGGAGGTTGCAGTGAGCCAAGGTTGTGCCACAGCACTCCAGCCTGGGCGACAGAGCGAGACTCTGTCTCAAAAAACAAAAACGCGAACAAAAAACAAACCCATCATGCTGAGTGAAAGAAGCCGGTCACAAAAGATCACATACTGTATGAATGATCCCATTCACATGAAATGTCTATTACACGCAAACCCACAGGGGCAGAAAGCAGGTCTGTGGCTGCAACAGCTGAAGCAGGAGGGGAATGAATGTGGAGGGGGTTTCTAAAGAAATGTGATGAAAATGTTTTGAATTAGACGGTGACGTTGTTGTACAACCTCGTGGATGTACCGAAAATCACTGAGCTGCGCATCTAACAAACAACAGTAGGGACCATTTCTTGTAAACAGCCAGCAAACTCATATTCAAGAAATAGCTTATAAGCTAAATGTGCATTGACAGGGAGTTGACTCGATACATTAGGTCATTTCCATACGGTGAGACTATCTGCAGAAGGGCAGTTCACTGCAAATGTTAAACTGTGAAGCGAAAAATGCAGCATTTAAAAAATTAGAGGCCAGGTGTGGTGGCTCATGCCTACGATGCCAGCACTTATCAGGAGGCCCAGGCAGGAGGATCACTTCAGGCCAGGAGTTTAAGACCAGCCTGGGCAACATGACAAGATCCTTGTCTGTGCAAAAAATAGAAAAATTAGCCAGGCATGGTGGTGTGCACCTGTAGTCCCAGCTGCTCTGGAGCCTGAGGTGGGAGGACCGCT